TTAAATTTATTTTCTCGTTATACGTATAATATATGGATTTTCTGGCAGAATAATAATTTCTAAATCAATAAAAACTAAATTACAGGTATAATTTACTTTCATCATATTATTAATAATTTTACTAGTATTTAATAAAATGCAAATTTTTTTAATTATCGTACACAAATTATATTTATACACAATAATTTATTTTTTTTATACATATATTTAAGTACATTTTACTAACAATTAATGATAATTTATGTTTAATAAAACTTATAAGCAAATGCGTTTTGAACTTTCTTATAAAAATATGACATTTTATTTAATATCGCTTGTGAACTATTATTATTGTTTATATAACAAGTTGACTTAACAAGTCAACTAATTTGAACAACTTCCAATAATCTTTTAATATATATACTTTTTAAAGGCTATTTACAAAGTTTTGAATAAAGAACTTTTTGTAATTTCTAATTTTTATTATATTATATTATTATATTTTTTAGTTATATAAATTTTGTTATTTACATGTTCCTTAATTTCTTCAGGGTTGAAATTTAACATTAAATCGAAAGTGTGATGATTCAAAATTTTCACCAAACTTTTAAATCATTCATTAATTCGGTTTGAAAGCAGTTGAAATATTTTACTAAAACTTGTATATATTAAGCAAAATTTGTTTTTATTTAATGTTCCAAAAATTTATTACATTTACAATAAACTAACATTTTAACACAATCCAATTTTACAATTACAAGCCCGCCACAAACCCTACATATGCCAGAGATGCAATAATGATCAGATAATTAAGCTATTCATTAATTGGGTAACTTAGGCAACAAGCAAGCTTACTTAGAACTAAGGCTAACTCTAATAGACATCGCTAAGAAACTGGGGATCTATATGTAGAAGTCAGTTCTAACTTTACTTAAGTTTTTTAATTGCTTATAGAAATTCAAATTGTGATTTCAGCGAAGAATTTGAATTTTAAATTTTTTGTTTTCATATGTAGGAATTTATATGTCATAAATTTATTTTTTTAACTTATTTTATTTTTTGAATTGCATTATTATTACCTTATATACCTACAAAAAACTTGACTAACTCAAATAATGATATATTAACACCTATTTCCAATTTTTTCCGAACTCTACTTTAAATTTTAAATAATAGAGATATTATAAAACTAATAAACAGAACAACATTAATTTTATATTAAATATGACTTTATTATTTTTGATAATATTTTCTTTTATGATCTCCACATAACGGGTGATCCCATGTTCGGTTCTCAAAAAGTCTATTGTTAGAGCTACAAAATGTTTGACTTTGCAATGATAAAGCATGATTCATCATTGATACTATTACACCTAATATTAATTTGCATTTTTTGTGTAAATTTAATAAAATATTATTTCATTTATAATTCTAACGAGTTAGTCAATAAAATATTGAAATTATAATAATTCCTATAAAAAATCTAATTCATTTAACAGAAAAAATTCAAAATTACTTCTGTCAAACATATGATACTGGACCAGTTATAATTAATTGCACTACATTTTTTGAATGACGCTGTAGCTACATTATCAGTGACAACTAACTTTGGTTAAATTTGGGTTATCATAATCAACAGCTGCTTAGTTTCAAGCTCATATGTTCAAATCCATAATTCATCGCCTGCAAAAACCTTATAGAGTTTTTTCAAACCTCCATCATTATACTTCTTAAGAATTTTTCTACATGATTCGACGTAAGTATATTTTTTGATTTCTTGTCAAATTATGTTAATATTACTTTAATTTTATTATTTTATCTAATTTCAATGGGTCTACAATAAATTATAATGAAATATTCAAATATATCCCAAAAAAATTCAAAATTTTTCTTTATACATAATCAACTGTAATAACTTCTTCTACCCTTTCACTCTTCGATAATGGAATTTTCACAAAATTTTTAACTTTTTTCAACAGCAGAAATAACTTTTTCTACCACTTCAATATATGTACTATAATAAAAATTTTTCAAACTTATTCTAAAATACTTTAAACTTGGAAACCTCTTAAATTTTTTTCCTTTTACGTTCACCAAATCTTTAATAAAATAAATTTTGAATTCACATACATTGTACATATTTATGTACACTGATAACTGAAAGTCCAGTACATCGTGAATGTTTTTACATATTTTTAATTTCTTTTTAAATCTGTTCACTTGACCAGCAAGAATAACAGTTGGAAGCCAAAAGGCAAACGATATAAATTTTAATTGCCATTTTAAGTGATAACTTCACTGTAAATGCAACGTTATTTGCTGTTAATAACAGCTCTTCACGAATCTTTGACTTTAATAAAAATACACTTCATTTATATAAGAATTGGTAAATTGCAATTTTAAATAAATTGACAACTTAAGTGTTATTTTAATTAATAACTGTTATTTAATTACTAGAATATGCAACAATACTTTAAAAAATATAATTGAAATTATTGTAAATTATTTTCAGTTGAAAAGTTAGCTATATATGTTAAATAACACAGCTTATAACAGCTTATAAATAGTATAAGATAATAATTAATCATAATATTAACTTCTAAATAATAACATAATAATTTCAGTTTTGCTTAGAAATCGTCAAAATCTAATTTACTTTTAATTAAGTACAATTATAGTCCACATAATATTGCATATTTTTATTTTATTTTAAATTACAAGCTTTAAAATATGATGTACATATTTACTTATATCCACACATCGTCCCATTATATTCAATTCTATTTCCTGGCAGAGTCCTTACCACGTAAATTATGCATAAGTCAGTGCCGGATTAATGTCTTGTTACAGTTTCTGCCATAATAATAGTCCCGTATATAAATCATGTAACAGTTTTGTGAGTTTTGTAAGTTTTGTTTTTGTTTTTGTTTCTGTTCCTGTTTCTGTTTCTGTTAAAATAAAAAATATGTTAAGGCAACAACATGAAAATTTATTTGGTCTCTTACGATAATTGAAATGGCTGGTCGGATACTTGTATTTGTGTGCATATTTTAAAACAAGAAATATCATTTTGAGATTTATTATGCAGTAATAAAAACAAAACACTTCAGGACACAAAAACTGCTGGAAATAATGGCAATTTTTAGAGGGAAAATACATATTCAAGTTTCCTTTAAAATTAAGATATGCACCAATGCGTGAATTTATTGCTGAACTTTAAAAATAAGAAAACGGAAGTTTTCTGCTGGTATCATCATCCTGAGCCAGTTATTCTTTTATATTTTATATGGATAAATATGATTATGATTTGTACAGATGGAACTGTTATTATCTTTTATACATATAATACATATATCTGTCTATGTACATATATTAAAGTGAATTCCTGTGCGTTTTTTTTTTGTTTATTACTTTACTTCCGAATAGACTCTTAACTGAATTAATGGATTCAAATTCTATATTATAACTTAAGGCACAATAAAAGCATGGTTTCCTCTCAAGTTTTAAAACAGAAATATTAGTTTTATAGCACTCAATCGTTTATAACACCTCTATTTGAGACCATGATATTAATATTATGAATCCGTAAATTTTGATTTGACAATTTTGAGGTGAATCCGTAAAATTTGATTTTGAGTAGCAATAAAACACAGTTTTTGCACGGCAGTAAGTAATACCTTATTTCTATATACAGTCATTACAGCAAGTCACTATTTTGGAGTACATTGAGCTTTTAAAACAAATAAGAATTATTCATTCCAATGAAAACCACTTATTTTAAAACACAGCTGTTATAGTCTTCAAAATCGCTTATTGTGTTCGCTTTTCTATGCTACGTTGGTGTATAGAGCATTTGTTAATGCTAAAATCACCAAAGTTCTAACCAAAAAGCTCTTCGATTACAACTTGCAAATTACAAAATCTCTTATTTTTAATTAGCGACTATTCAATGGCCACTTACATCAGTCATTATATCCTTAATTATACAATTTCACTCAACATTTTAAGATGATGAACAAGAATCAATCCTGTCCGAACTAAATTATATACGACCCTGTGTCAAATACAGAGCAATAAATATAAAATAACATAGAAGAATAATATTCGAATTTAACTATATATTGCTATTGAACATTACTGATAAGGTTTATACAGTCAAAAAAATAATTTTGAATCAACTCGGAAATGGTTAAAATATAAAAAACTATTTGAAACTTTAATGGTTGTTATAAAAAAGGAACACAATTTGGAGCAGATGCATATTATTTATTAGCATTGCCTTTATTCTAAACGCATTTGATCTCTGTCTATATAGTTGATCCAGAAGTTGCCCTACTGTTTTAAATCTGTACTATTTTTATACCCATATAATGTTAAAAGATATACATCCACACCTTGTATGAATACGGTTCAATATTTCTAATAAATTTGTTTTACATCGTATTGCTTAACGTATATGATCATATAGCCTTACTATAATAGAAATAATAATTTTTGTAGTATTAATAAAATAAAAGTATAAACATAATAAAATAAAAGTATAATAATAAGTATAAACACTTTATTTTATTTTTCTTCTCTTTTCAATCCAAATACGAATTATAAACTACAATCTACAAATTTTCTTTAAAGTTAAATTATACGATATTTAATACAAAGTGCTGTCTCGAAAACGGGGGTTAACCTACTTGTATTAATAATTTATTAAATGTTTACAATTATAATGTAAAAAAATAAAGTTCTAAAACATGAACAAACATTTTAGAATTAATTAAGCATTGGTGACATTAAAAGTCATCAACGTCACCGAATGCAGACGGAATCGCAGTTTTATAGAAACATTTTAAATACTTATAAAAATTCAATAACTTATTTGACAAAAAAAACTTTGTTTAATAAAGCAAAAATCCTTTACTGTGTCGCACAGAAAAGTCACACTATATATTGTCAGAGCGGTCCCCAACTAAGATCAGAAAGAATTGAAACGGTGTCTTTGGCTTCTAAAGAATCTCATATCTACTACTACTGCAGTCCTCTTCTTCCAGTGGAACATAGGGCCTCACAACACTCAATGCTTTTTGATCACGGTATGAAGGTCCCCTTAACCCAGAAGTGTTACGCAATTCGTGCTTACCGGAATTTGGTTTGTAGTCAAGCGGCCGCTTTGGGGTGTAAGTGTAGTTCAGCCATGGCAATAATCAGAATCCACATTATACGTATTGTTCAATTCCAAATTTCATTATCATTTGATTGGTTAATATATAACAATTTTTTTACTCGTGATTTATTTTCAATTGGTTTTTAGGCAAAATCTATAACACTCGAGACTAATTTATAACACTCTTGATATTTTGCCAGAGTAATAAAATTATCCTTAAATTAACAGCTGTTTTATGTTATTTGAAATCAATATTAACAGATAAAAATAATATGAAACAAAAGTTTAGCGAATTATATTTGATACTAGGACCTAAATCAACACTTTGCTTAAAAAATAAATCACTGGTATATAAAAGGGTAATTATGCCATAGCATCGAACTTTGGGGTACTGCCTCGAAATCCAACAATCAAAAAATTCAAAAACAACAATCAAAAATATTAAGAACCATCGTCCATACTGATTGGTATATACCAAACAACGATGCCTTGAGCAAATAACCTAAGTGATAAAGTGATAAAGCACATAACTAGACTATTTACACATGAAAACTCGGAACTCCACATATTACCGACAAAAGAATCGGCTCACACCAGAAGATTCAAACGCCCATTCCCAACAGATTTGCTAAATATTATGTTATGTTCTAATGTGAAAATTGTTACGTTTCTTAATTTACTCATTGAAAAAATTGTATTGATTTGATATTACGTATTATCCTTATACACTAAAGTTCTTCCAATAAATTATTGCCATTTCCTGTAAGGCAGGTGTAATTATAAATAAATACGAAAAAAAAAGTATTTATGGATTACTCTGAACATGTTCGATTGGGCCATCAAATTCGTGCAAAAAATGAGAGATCTATAGCAAATCTATAGGATGATTTAAATTTAAAACTTGAAAAGTTAAAAATACTCTATTTTTCAAAAACCATCGTTTCTTCCAATCAACCCATGTACCAGTACCTACTTTTTAAAGTTAAATTAAAATAAGTTTTTAATATTTTTGTCTAAAAATATTTTAAAATTTTTTCCATGTCACATTAATTTCAAAACTTATTTAAATAAACATACACTTTAACATAAAGTACCCTGTATTTTGAAATATAACTTATAAAAACTAAAATATAAATATGAGAAATGTTGAAACTTTGTTTTAAAGTTTTCCATATTTAAACAAATTGATGTAAAAAGTAAGGTTGCATATCTCATCAGATAAATTACTATCATTAACTCAGATTCTTGATTATCTTCATTTAATATTTTTAAAAAATGTTTATAACAACTTCCTTTTATCCTCTTTTACAAATGTAATGTGCTCCCATTCCAAAAAAAGAACTTATCAAAATTGCTTTGTATTCATCTAACTAAGCACACTTACCAAAGGCCGTTATTATACCGAAAATCCTTATTACTGGCCGTAAGCAACTGCAGGGCTCAGCAGCTTGTCGACGCCTTCGATGTAATTGATTCATATTGAAGCAAATAGCAAAACTTAAATTGTGACAGTTTGTACCTTTTTTATAGCACTTCTTCCTTTACGCACTTCACTTAAATTGTTTGTAATTTTTGTTTTATTTTTATTATTT